ACACACACACACACACACACACACACACACACACACACACACACACACACACACACACACACACACACACACACACACACACACACACACACACACACACACACACACACACACACACACACACACACACATACACACACATCCATACAGACGTACGGACATCATCGTGAAAATAGTCTGGAAAGCTTCCTAGGACCTCGAAACGTTGAGATCCGATGAAAACTCGATTTTCGAAAAACAGGGTAAAACCAATAACTTCCCGTTTTTTGAAAATTTTCAATTTTCTTAGCGGGAAGTTAAAAATTAGGAAAACGGTTGACCCTTCAAGGCCATCCCTGCAACATCCCGCTAATTCCATACCTAGACGCTAAAAATTGCACTTATGACGTTTTTGAGTTCTTTGAGCTCAAAAATACAATTTATGTGTTATCTTGAGCTCTCCAAGCTCAAAGAGATAGCTTTTCTATGCTTTTTGCTCAAATGTCTGATAGAAGTGTGATAAAACACTATTTTTTGAATTTTCAAACCGCAATAACTTTTGAATGAATCAACCGATTTTCATGCGGTTGGCGGCATTCGACGCAATTTTTTAAGCCCTATGAAGAATTTTAAGTTTGAATTGATCGAACACGGAATTTCAGAGTAATTCCGAAAAAACACTTTTTTCGGTTTTCTTTCGTCAACGATATCTCTCGAACAAGTTAACCGATTTTGACCGGATTAGCGGTGATCGACGTAACTTTTCAAGGTTCAATGGTGCCAACCGCGATAAAATCAGTCAAAAGTTTTAAGCGGTTCACACACACACACACACACACACACACACACACACACACTCACAGACATAGTGACAACATCACGGGGGCAGTCAGGGAAGCTTCATGTGACCTTAAAACGTCGAGATCTGATGAAAATTCGATTTTTGCAAAACGGGGTAAAACTAATAACCTCCTGAATTTTGAAAATCCTCGAAGGGGAAGGGGAAAAAAATTAATAAATAATTCAATTAATATCTTACCGGGTTTACATGCGAAGAATGACTATTATCTCCGTGGTACATCAAAGTGACTAGAATACTGATGCATTCATAGAAGACCGTAGCCAATAGAAAGGTATTAGCGAGTGTAAATATCGTGCTACTTTTCCTCAAATTAAGTTCACTGAGACTCCTCATCGAAACCACTAGCTCTCTGATCGACTTTTCATGATATCTTAATGGATTTCCTTCACCGTTTTCTGCATCAACATTCTTATCATGCCTCGATTTTCTTGTTAATGACTGATGCCGCGTGCGATTCAAGAGTTTGTCTATCCATTTAGTAATGCATCTCATGGTCCCAAAATTCTTAGACAACACTTTCTTAGGATCTTCTGAAACTTCAACTAGTTTTTTTCCGATTTTGGTGTTCATCACATGCACTCGGCCAATTAATCGCAAAATAACTTCAGACAGATGATTCCTTAATTTTTTAGAATGAGCTCCATAAGCGCGCGGTTTGAAAATACTTTTCATACCTAAAAAATTCTTGAAGGCATTGAAAATCAATTTATTCTTAACAACTGCTCTACTGACGTAGTCCATCATGTATTCCAGACTAGGCGAGTTGTACAATCTGTTTTGGTTGGATTGGGAGAAGAGAAGAATTAACGATTTGGTCAAATTACTTTTTAGCCCGTTTCTACAAAATGTCGTCATACTTTCATTACTTTTCTTGACGATGCAATCCGATCCAATACTACTATGCATACTTTTCTCTAGAATATTTGAAACTTTTGCTTGCGACCTACCAGAAGAAAGTGGAGCAGCATTTTTCTTGCTGCAAGCATCAATTGCCCGGACTTGCAATAAGCAGTTTCTGAAATCGCTCTTCAAATCTCTGACTATAATATCACAGATGAAAGCTTGGTGATCTGTGAAAACAACACCGTTTATCTTCGGGTGATTAGGAATAGGTCTTTGTAATCGCTGAGTAATGATTTTTTTGACGGCATTCATTCGATATTTCATCAAGTCTTGAAATGCTTTTTTGACATCATACCATTTTCCAGAATCCAAACAATCGAAAGCATTAGCCAAAAAATCGTAGAACTTTCCAATTAAATTTAGCCACTTGAATGTCCAGCTGTCACCATTGTCGCTGGAATCTTTGACCAGGTCAAAATTAGATCGAGCGTATCCTTTAGAAGGATAATTACTTCTGAGGAAATGACGATTAATCCTTGTTGATATTTCAGAGTGTAGAGGGATCAAGTATGCTAGAGATAAGTATTGACGTAGTACTTCATCTTTTATTGTTGCTGAGCGGATTTCGTAGTTGGTTAGTTTGTGAACTGCAGAGACTAGTTTGTTATTCGATCTGAACAATCCAAGGTAGCTCAAAAAGTACTGGATACTGTTGACCAGGCTCTTTCCCACTCTCTGCATTCCAGATCTCAGATAGTTTACGGATTTGACATTACGGATGGTCAAATTGTGAAAATTTTCGTCGAAAATTTGGCTTAATCCATCGATTATTAGATCTACTTCCAGTGATTCGGTCCAATTGAAGTCACTACCTTTTATATCGCCGATATAACTGATCCCCTGTGATCCTTCAAAAGGGACCCCTGTAAATTTGAAGACATTTATCAAATTAATGTAAATTTGTTTAAAGCAAGTGCTAAGCTAGCAAGTAATTCTAGAAAGAGGATAAATGCCATGGATAAATTTTCTGATGTGGTCTGATGGAGTCTAACATGTCCATATATAGTTTTTGATATAGCCCAATATGCTTATACATGGTATGATTTGAAAATTGGCTATGTCAGACTATATATAGGCATATCTGATTCAATATGGCTTAATATGTTTTAAAATAATTTGATATATCAAATGAAGGTCCAAAAATGCACACCTCATAAAGCTCATTTAAATTGTAATGAAAAAAATTAGGTAAATTGTTGGACCTAAAAGCCATCCCTGCAAGTTTCCGCTAATTCTATACCTAAGCGCTCAACATTTCTGTTGAACTCTTTGAGCTAAAAAACATAATTTTTGTTATTTTGAGTTCTTCGAGCTCACACAGATAGCTGTTCCATGCTTTTGAGCTCTTCGAGCTCAAAAGTCTGATAGGAGTTTCATAGAACACTTTTTTCTAAATTTTCAAACCACAATAACTTTTGAATAAATGAAAGCTCGAAGCTCGAAAAGCTCAAAAGCATACAAAAGCTATTTTTTTTAGCTCGGAAAGCTCAAAATAACACACAAATTGTATTTATGAGCTCGAAGAGCTCAAAAACGTCATAAGTGCAGTTTTAAGCGTTTAGGTATAGAATTGGCGGGAAGTTACAGGGATGGCCTTAAGGGTCAACCGTTTTCGCGATTTTTTTTTTTGTGGTAATTAAGAGTATATTTTTCATATAACCTACATTGAAAATGCGAGTTTTAATGCCTGTTGAGCCAACCGAAACTAGACAATTTCAGACCAATGCGACTGTTGAAGGCAGGAATCAATCATTTCTTCCCGGCGGACGGAAAATTACGATTTACTGCCCGCGAGTTGAAGTTGCAGCTTTATTTTCAATCCTATCAGAGTATTTTTTGTTTGTTTTATACCTTTATAATTGTCATTCTAACCATTAACCGTACTGACGTATAATAATTCTGTTACAAAGCATAAATAAGAATGACAAAAGAAAACTATTCAATTTACAAATGATTAATAAAAAATAAACCATTACTTTCTATTTTATTGTAAGTTTTATAATAAAATGGTATTTTCGCTATTCGTCTGAAACTATCTAGTTCTGGTTGGCTCCAGACATTGAAACTAGCATTTTTAATGCAACTTATATGAAAAATATAATGTGTGACGCGGGATGAAACACGATTTCAGACCGAGTGATGCCAGCCCTCGCTTCGCTCGGGCAGGCAACTTCACTCTGATCTGAAATCATTTTGTTTCATCCCTAGTCACACAATATACTATAATATGCTGAATAAATTTTATATTAATATATATTTAATTGTTCTTGTGTAAAAAAAATCATGAATATTGGCTTTTTGTTAACGCCGAAACTAGGTTAACCCCTTCATACTTTCCCTCAACTTTCAATTTAGTTTAGTGATAAAAATTGATACTACTTACAAATAATAACAAAAATAAACAGTAATACACCATGCATGATCATCGAACTAACTGGGTAAATACAAATTTTTTCTATTTATAACATTTTATTAATGTCTTTGAACATATTGACACTAATTACTCATAATCTCATCAAAAAAATTTACTGATCATAAATTTTCAGAGCTCGTAAAATTTAAAAAAGTTCGTTCTCTATTATCTACAATCTCTACTAATCCTTTTTATTTATAAGTCATTTTTAACACAGTTTTATTAGCTCGACCTGTATCTATCTATCTATATAACGGAATTTTTTAACGTAATTTCTATCAACTTTGAAATGTTTATGTTCAGTAAAAATAAATAATAAGTTATGAATGATGAACACATGGTAGTAACAATTATTTTACACGGAAAGAAAATTATGGGAACTATTCCTATACCATAATGGGAATGGTTCCCATAATGCTATAGGAATAATTCCTATACTATTATAGAAACTATTTCTATATCATTATGGGAACTAATCCCAAAATACTATGGGAACTATTCCTATAATATTATGGGAATGGTTCCCATAATGCTATAGGAATCATTCGTATACTATTATAGGAATGGTTCCCACAATATTATTATATAGGTTTAAATCCTACACAGAAAAAAGAATTGAGGCTGCTACATGATACATTCCTGTGGAAAATACATGACTTTTATGTGACAGCAACATGATTTTCATGTGGCAGGCAATAATAGTTAAAACAACAATAATAATTAAATAATAATAAAAATTTATATTATTAAAAAAATAAGAACAATTTTATCTCCTGGATAGTCACATGATAAAATCGATTTTTTTAGTGAAATTTAGTGTTATTGCAAAGGACTTGACTTGAATTTGTGCCTTTTCAAGGTTTCACATCATTCTCGTCGATAGAAAATTTATGATGATAGATATTTAGGTTGAATTCGAAAATGCTCTATCTCTAAACATATTAATTGAGAAATGACCTTCTATCTTGTGAACTATTGACATTTTTAAAGATATAAACTCATCTCGATGTTACACTTATTGAGACCTTTCATTTGAGTACCCACATAAATTTTTCATATATTTTATATATTTATATATATTATATATATGCAAATATGAAAAATATATCAAAATGCATGTGAGTATTCAAATGAAAGCGCTTGATGAGTGTAACATCGGGATGAGCTTATATCTTCAAAAATGTCAATAGTTTACCAGATACAAGGACATTTCTTCATTATGTATCTAGACACAGAGCATTTTCGAATGCAGCCTAAATTCTTATTATAATAAATTGACTATTGGTGAGAATGATATGAAACCTTGAAAAGGCACAACTCCAAGCAAAAACCCATTTTATCATATAAATACACTGGCCACAAAATTTTTCTTATTCTCTTAATAATATAGATTATTATTATTATTTACTTATTATTGTTGTTATAACTATTATTGCCTACTACATGAAAATTATCTTGCTGTAACATGGAAATCATGTGGCTGCTACATGATTTTTTCATGTGGCTGCCACAGGATTTTCCTGCTGCTGCAACATGAAAATCATGTTGCTGCCACAGAAATGTATCATGTGGCAGCCCTAATTTTTTTTCCGTGTATATATTATAGGAATCATTTCAAATTCACTCTGCACGAAGATTGTATCTTTATTTTATTTGAAGAATGATCCCCATTATGGTATAGGAATGATTCCTATAATATTATAGGATTCCTTCCTATCATAATGATATAGGAACCATTACTATACCATTATGGGAATATTTCCCATAATATTATGGGAATGGTTCCTATAATTGTATAGGAATCATTTCTATAATTATAGGAACCATTTCTATACCATTATGGAAACCATTCCCATCATTATGGGAAATGTTCCCATAATTCTAGGAAAATTTCCTATAATTATGGAAACAATTCCCATAATTCATGGGAACAGTTCCTATAATTGCCTGGGAACTGTTCCCATAAAATTATGGGAATAGTTCCCATATTTTTCTTTCCGTGTATCTCAATTATTTTACATTATATTAAGAATCTAAATATTTTTTATTACGATGTAGATCTTCTTTGAATTTATGAATTGAAAACCTAATGACGTCAGTGTATGACGGAAGTATTTGTTATGCTTGACTCATAACTGCAGTTGACGAGTTAAAGTTTAAGTAAAATAATTAGCATGAATCACCTTCTCTTTAGAGACAACACAAACATTTACCTGATAAAATCGAAGAAATAACACAAGTAAATTAGCATTGAATCAGGATTTAAAAATTGGAGTAAAAGTAAGTGAAATTCAGTAGAATTTTTAGTGGATGGTAAGTGAGAATCTATACAATAGGCCGGATGGTGGTGCCATCTAATACAACAAAGATTGTTCCACTTACTCGGTCGACCAGTGTAACTGTTATGTATCTACTAGTCTCAACTCCAGTGGGTTCTTGACAGCCGGCATCCTTGGCCCAAAATACTCTATTTATCTACATAAATACTTTCTTTTTAACACTTTCTTTTATTGTTAAATGTTCATTCGATTATAATAATATAGAATCTTAAAAGTTTATAAAATACAAGTTAATTGTGTGTTTTATATCAGTTTCAATATGAATAATTAAAGTTCTTCGCTAACGTTTTTAAAGTACTCGTGAGTAAGATAAAGATATCTTGACAGATTTATTTTTTTAACATGCCGGTATAATAATAATAATAATAATAATAATAATAATAATAATAATAATAATAATAATAAT